TACTTATCCAAGTCATCACTTAATATTTGATCTAATAAATGTCTAATTTTCATGTTAAGTACGTATTACAAATATTTAAAAAAATTAGGATCAATTTAAGATGGTGTAGTTAGTGGTACTTAATCCAATAAAGTTTTTAATTGTTTTTATCAAAAAGAATAAAATACTCAATCATGCACTAATATAAATGAATAAATAAAATAAAATAAGAACCATGGCTGAGTAGTCGACATGTTTATGAATAGGCCCGGATCGTAGGGCAGGTTTAGGCCTGGTTTGGTACTGAGGTAATTATGGAAAAAGCTGGTATCAAAAAAAGCTATGAGCTATTTTTGTGTTTGGTAAACATTCAGTTTTAGTTTTTTTTCACAGCTTTGGGTGAAAAAAAACCAAAAATAAGAAGCTGCAAAACCCATATTTGAAAAACCGGCTTTTTCACATATGTTTTACATAAAAGTTTACCAAACACTATAATATTGTTTTTTTTTTCAAAACCACTTTTACAAAAAAGTTTACTAAACACTCTGCTGCTTTATTTCACAAATGTTTATTCTCATAGCACAGCAGAAGCAGTTTTTTTTCAAAGCACAACAATACTTTATAAAAAAATTAAATCAATTTTTTTTTAATTTAAAAAAAAATTCCAGATTTTGTATTAATTTGTTTTACATTTTTTATTAATTTTATACCATGACTGACATCAACCTTGCATCAGCGCCCTCAGGTGCTTAGGTAGTTGATTCGCTCATCCTTTCTCACGCGGGCCTTCCTCGAGCCCAATCGCCAGCATGGGCTGGAGCAAGGCAGGGAGGCAATTGGATTGAAATGGTCCCCAGTCCACCGGGCAATGGGCACATCTGGACTTGCTCTAAGAGCACTTCCAGTGTGGGAAGGCCGCCCCAGGAAATTGCCTATTAAATCCCCTATAATGAATAGTAACTGCCTTTAATGAACATAAATTATCTTTTGCATCTCCACCCTTAAATTGAATAGTCATGGTAATAGGCAATAAAATATTAGTATTTTTTATTTTATAAAATAAAAAAATTATTTGTAATTTCGGATAAGATTTTTAATCAATCTCGTTGCGCCACGTGTCATTAAATAAGAAACAACAACCTAAAGTATTTGAGAAAAAATAAAATTGTGGTGTAAGGTGGAATATAATGATAAGAAATTTATAGAGAAATTAAATCAATTTTAATTTTTAACTTTTTTTTAGATTTTTTATAAATTTTATAACGTGGCATCATCGCCTTAAGGCGCTCAGGCCGTTGATTCGGGCCTCCCTTGAGCCCAATTTCTCACATGAGCTGGAGCAAGGGAGGAAGGCAATTGGATTGAAATGGTCCCCGGTCCACCGGGCATTGGGCACTGCTGGACTTGCTCTAATAGCAGTTCCAGCATGTGAAACCTCTTCACAGGCAATAACTATGTTATCCACCTAATGAACAGTAACTACCCTTAATGAACAGTAATCACCTTTTGCATCTCCACCGTTACACTTCAATAGCCCTGGCAATAGGCAATAAAATATTAATATTTTTATTTATAAAATAATACAAAATAATTTTAATTGTAATTTCGGATAAGATTTTTAATCATTCTCGTTGCGCCATGTGTCATTATCCGAAAAATTATTAAATAATACAAAATAATTTTATTTGTAATTTCGGATAAGATTTTTAATTGTTCTCATTATGGCACTTGTCATAAAATCCAAAAAGACAATTATTGGTGATGGATTTTTGATAAGATTTTTAATTGTACTCGTTGCGCCACGTGTCATTATTCGAAAATACAATTATTGGTGATGAATTTCTGATAAGATTATTAACTAATCACGTCGCGCCACATCTTTAAGAAGCGACCAATTTGTACCTGCATCAGTAGTCATTTTGTTGAAAAAAATTGGATTGAAACTTTGAGAGAAAGATAGGAATGTGATTGAAAGTAGTTTATAAAATATGAAATTGTGGTATAAGGTAGATGGTAATGAGAATATATTTATAGAAAAGTAAAAACAATTTTTTTTAAAAAAAATTCAGATTTTTTACAATTTTTTAAAAATTTTTATTCAATTAATTAATCTCTGCCGTTTGATATAAAAAAAAATTGAATTCCAACACTTCAGATTGTGCCACATGTCATAACGGTAACTTTTCTTAATTTTAAAACTATTTTTTCTTTTATTTATTTATAAAGCAGATTAATATCAAATGTCGATCACAGATCGAACGGTTGATATTAAATCAGAATTTTTTTTATTATCGTTGTAAATCGGATGACCAATTTTAAAGAGTTGTTGAGATCGAACGGACCGTGGGAAGTCGCGTGGCTTCCCAACGGTAATTGAGGCAGACTGCACTGTGAACCCCTGTGGTCTGAAATCTGTCGGCTGACGCGCCCCCACGAGCAGGTGAGGCCCACGCTCCTGACAGAAAAAAAAAATTAAAAAATGGGGTTGACACCAGGCTGACGTTAGCCCTACGTCAAGTTCACCTTGGGCTCGCGGGCTGGCGATTCCTCACAGACCTGTTGCTTGGCCCTGCCCAGTCCTTCGGGCTCCCCACGCTGGAGGGCTTCAACCGGGCTATCATGCCCTGTTTGGTCCACTATCCCCCAAGCAATCCACAACGGTGGACTTGCTCTAAGAGAATTTCCACCAAGGGTGAGAAAGGCCAGCACCCAACAAAAAAACCAGCCCAGCACCTAGTGAAACCACTCGAACCTAGCATTTTGATCGGCACCCAGCCCAAAATTGACAAAGGCGTGAGCCGCCCCGTATGACACCATGTTGACGCTAGCGTGACGTAGTGGGCCTTTTTTTAATTTTTTTTTTCTTTTGCAATCTCCACATGCACCATCACCGCAATCTCCATCTCCATCACTCTTCGTCGCGCCTCCGACGCCTCCTGATCCCTGGAACCCCATCTGATACACCCGTACGCCTTCTTCATCTACACCCTATCTCAAATCCCTCATTCCTCTTCCCGATTTCCACTTCGCCAATCCTGGGGCTCCAGTTGTTCCGCGTAGAGATAGCTCTCTCTGATTCGAGGAACAAGAAGAAAGACCTGCTGGTCTTTCGATCCAAATGAAATCAGGTGCATAATCAGCTTCCTCATTTGAAGAAGAAAACATGGAGAAAAAAAGAGTGGGGAGAGAGATAGTTGGTCGGAGAAATAAGGGAAGAAAGGACTGGAGAAGGAATGGAAGCAGTGGGAAGGAAACAAAAATGCTAGACCTTTCGAGAGAAAGGAAGAAAAAAGAACAAATAAATTAAATGATAAAATATTAATTGATATGAATAAATTAATATAATATTAGATAGGCTGAATGTCAGCGGATTTTTAGAGGTGGAGATGCTTTGGCCTATTACTGTACAGTCAGTCTTTTACTGTTAACTTGAGTGGATAAATAAGCTGGGTGCTGTTGTAAAATCTTTAGGATGAAATTTGCTCTAAAGGCAAATTGTTCTTAATTTGGGGCTTATTTATGTGTATTCCCATATGTGCCCCGGAAGTTGGCGCCAACTCATGGCCCCATCAAACGAATCGTGAGATAGGAGAAGGTTTGCATCTGAACGAGGCAACGGCTCAGATTCACTCTTGCTTGAATTGAAAGTAAAATATCCCGCATCCTTGTCCCGCCCCCGGATGCAGACCAAATTTTTGAAGGCCGGCTTTGCCTTTTTATGGAGCCATTTCCGATGGCCCTACCTCACCCATTTGCTTTTCTTCTCGTCCCTATCCTAATTATTTTAATATTTGTTGATTTGTTGATATTATATTCTCTTTAATTTAAGGGGCCAAAATTTCAAAATTTAGCTTTGTATTTCTCGCTATTCATTTTACGTATCAAGTTAAAAAGTTTTTTTTTTCTCAAACGGTAGGATCAAGTAAAATCATCTAATATTAATTATGTGCTTTTTAGTGAATTTTAAAGTTAAACTAAATATGTTATAATCCCTGAGGTTAATAAGGCATACTTAGATAAAGATGTAAGAATTTATCGACCGAACCGCATTTCTTTTTATATGTTAGGAGTCCATTCGATGAGAAGGGGCTGGAGAAAGTTTGAACTCAATTCTTACAGTGATGAATATAAGTGCCTCAATCATGGGGAGTTATATATTTGTATATTGATAAGACCATTCACTATTTCTTAAAGTTCGATCTTTTTTTTTTATTACATGGAGACTCCTCTAAAAATCATTGGCACGCGCCTATATGGCTAATCAGAGGAGGCGCCCTAATCAATAATATGAGATGCTCTTGCATAACTTCTTGAAGTATTTTCTATAGAATCAGATCTTTTTTCCTAATTTTACTCAATGTGTGAGTAGCAAATGGCTTGTCACAAACAAACTGTTTTATTATAATTTGGTCGATCATGATTGTGTGGTTAAATAAGTAACATTATTGGCCGGAAAAGAATTCTTGTCGGATCTTTTTCCTGGGGATCCTACTGATTCTGCAATCGTGTTCGTTTATCGTATATCGTGAAATCATAAATTATTTAAAATTTAAAATTCAAATATAAATAATATTTAACAAAAACTGATTGCATAATATACGATAAACGAATACGATTGATGAATCTTTAGATCTTAGGAAAAGGATCCGGTAAGCCTTGGAAATAAAATGAACGTGACGATTTTCATCCCATCGACAGCTGGCAGCCAAACTGAGCGAGTCTTACACCACCGGTTCCGGGCGCAAACTCTCTCTCCCTTTCCTCAGCTTGCTCCTTGTCCTGTCAAATGTCCAATTCCAACATGTGATCGATCGATAACACAACAAAGGAATTTCTAGACTTCTCCAGGGGTATTTATGGAATTCCGAAACCTTAGATGTCCTCGCAGCTTCCTGCGACTTTCCTGCGTGTCACGTTCGTGGAAGAAATCTCAGCCGTCCATCTCAATCCGAAACCCCCAATCTCGAAACCCTAGCTCCCCCTTCCTCTCTTGAATAATAAATTCCACATTTGCTCTACAAATCCCTCTTCCATTCTCCTTTTAGAGAGAGAGAGAGAGAGAGAGAGAGAGAGCGCCTCTGGTTCGTGGGTTTCGAATTGGACATATAGCTCGTTTTCTTCGATCAGTGTTTTATATAGCTCATCCTCTGTCGGTTTCAATCAATTAGCGGTTTAATTGTCGAGCTTTGAGCGGATGGGGGGATTGGTGGCGGAGGCGGCAGCGGCGCCGATTTGCTTCATGAGATGGGACGAGGTGTTTGTGTCGAGCGACAAAGGGCGGAGGGAGGTCCATTACTATTTGAAACGCAGAGACGGCAGTTCAGATCTGGCGGTGGTAGGCAAAGAGAAGAGCTTGCGGCACATGTCCTATCATTATGCTTTCCGAATCCGGTCCTTGTTCTCCATGTCGTCGCTCGTTAAGCTTAAATCTCGCAGAGAGGTCATCGATTGGCTCGATTGCGTTGTTGCAGGTAAATTTCGTACCTTTCGTTCAGTTTCTCGATGAATTTTGATACGTCTCTCTTTCTTTTTTGTTCTTGTTTGTTTTCGGAGGTTTTGGGGTTTTCGGTTTTCCTTGTTGGGAAAATTGAAATCTTTTCCGTATTTGTCTTCAATTGATTCGTGTGTTTTTGTTGGGATTTGGGTGGTGTTGAAGAATTTTGTAGATCTGGTGGGTGGTTCTGGATGTTTTTGTTGGTGGGCACAGATTTTCTGGGTTTCCTTGTTGATTTAATCATGAAGTGGGGTTCTTTCCCAATTTATAAAACCGTTCTCTTGCGGGTTTTGTGTTTCCTCACCGGTTTTGCATCTGTTATCAAAGTTTGTTGGAAAACGCATTCTCTGGTTGATAGGGCGGATGTGTCAAGTTTCACCTACCGGCTAAATCCAGGCCCTTTCATTTTTGTTGTACTTTCACTCCTTAAGAGTCGTGGATTTTGGAATAATCTCGGGTTCACCGGGCAGGCAAAGTACAAAGCTTTTCCTTTTGATAACGTTTCAACCTTTGTTACGAAACAAAGGTTTTGCATTTGTCTTCAATGCGTTCCTTTCTCTCATAATTGCAAGAGCTCGTGTTCTTCAAGTTGGATTGTATTTCCCCTCGTCTCCTTCTTGTAGTTTTGTCTCGTCCTTTCCATGGAAATTCTTTTTTCCTTTTGGGATCCTCCTCTCCTCTCCGCTGTGTTTAAAATTGGACCACTATAGAAATTTGTCACCATTTTTGCAAGTTTATTGAGCCGCATAGGGATTTTTTTTAATTCACTAACGAAGGACCTTATAGCCTAGGTGGCCTGGCCTGTTTTATGGGTGTATTTTTGTTTTGAACAACGGTGTGTTACTCTGTTCTTTCAACCGTGACCGTGTTCTATTCTTCATGGTATTGTTGGTCTTATTGTTTTTATAAACTGACTGTGATTTGGGCTGCAGGATTTTTAATTAAATTGTAAAGAGCTGGTTGAGAGCATCGGATCCTTATGCCCTCAAAAACTCTAGGTCAAGACCCTTCATGGCCAAATCTACAATATTTTTTGTTCCCTAATGATCTTTGGTATATGTGATGGTTTATATCTTCAGATTTTCTGTCTCTATGTTTAATGCACTCATCTGCTATGGATACTTATCCATTTTATTTGCTTCTTTCAGTTTACACAATTATTTTGTTATTAGTCGTTTACTTTTTATTGTTTGGCCTTCCTGTCTGTCTCTGTTATCATATAATTATTACTGTAGTCCATGGTAAATGCCATGTGTGTTAATTTGTTTGTTTTGTAATTCTCTCAGATACGTCATTTCTCAAATCACCCGATTTGGGTGGGAGTGTGTCGGATGGTATAGATGCTTGCAAGTTGGGGATTGAAATCTTTAAGGTAATAATGATTATGTTGACTTATGACTATGATTATGTTGACTTATGACTCTATTTACTTCCCCTTCATGTTTTATGCTTCATACATTTTTCTTTTGGTCATTGCTTATATTCATTCTCTGTCTTTCTCTTAGGATACAGTATTGCGGAAGCTAGGCAACCATACCACTGAGTTTCTGTGGTTAGGCTCTCCTTGGACATGCAGAAAAAAACGGAGGCATTATCAATCATTTAGCCGGAACAGTGTTGTAGTTTCGGTAAGTTGTATTGGTTTTCTGTTCTTTTTTTTTTTCATATACTTTTTGTTTCTTGGACATCTTACCATCTGTAATGTTTTTTCTGTTAAAAAATGTTTACATTTGACTCATTGTTCTGTTCCCCTCTTTCCAAATACTTTCAGGTTCATGATTTTGTATTTGTTTTAGCCGAGGAGGATAAACGTCTTGTTGCATACTTGGAAGATATGTATGAGGATTCTAGGGGCAACAAGATGGTTGTGGTACGGTGGTTTCACAAAGTTGATGAGGTTGGTATTGTTTTGCCTCACAATTTTAATGATAGGGAGATTTTCTTTTCTCTTTGTCTTCAAGATCTCAGTATTGAATGCATAGATGGATTAGCTACCGTCCTCAGCCCCCATCATTTTGAGAAATTCAAGAGAGAGGCAACGCATACCCTTTTGGAACCCTTTGTATGCTGCAAGCAGTTTGAAAATGACGATGTCCAGCCCTTTGACATTACTCAAGTTAGAGGTTATTGGAAACAGGAGATACTTAGATACATGCACACACTTGCTTCTTCAAAGGTTCAAGGGAGTTCTCAACAGCCAGATGAAGGGTTGGAAGTGGAAGAAAATGATGGTGCCAATGATATCAGACCTAAAAAGAGGTATCATTCTTCAAGAAATGATGACATGCGCTTGCAATACTGTGACCGAAAGGAGTTTCCGGATGCTGTATATGGGAATGTGGTGAATCTAAGTAAAGATGGGACTGATTGCAGAAGTAAAAGTGAAGCCTTTTGCCTTGGAAGAAGAGGTTCTTCTGTTTTACCTCGTAAAGACGTGAAGAAAATTCCGCAGCACCATTTAGTGATTGGCTCCCAGGTTGAAGTCCTCTCACAAGACAGTGGCATTAGAGGGTGTTGGTTCAAAGCTTTGATTATCAAAACGTACAAAGATAAAGTGAAGGTGCAATATCAAGATATTCAGGATGCAGCTGATGAAGCTAAAAAACTGGAGGTATGTTTTGCTGCTATTTCCATCATGTTATTTTTGTTCAAAATTTTGGGTGCACACCTGTTCTTCACCTATAGCTTGCTTGAACTTTATGGTTTCCGTGCTGTAGGAATGGATTTTGGCCTCTAAGCTTGCAGCTTCTGATCAATTGGGTCTTTGGACTTGTGGTAGGCCAATTGTGCGGCCATCTCCACCGTCTAACAAAGGTAGAGTTTCATGGGCTGTTGATGTTGGGACTGTTGTGGATGTCTGGTGGCACGATGGATGGTGGGAAGGGATTGTAGTTCAGAAGGATTCTGATGGCAGACTGCATGTGTATTCCCCAGGTTTGTAAAGATTACCCCCCCTTTTTAAATCTAATAGTAATAACGAATGTGATGAGGATCTAATTGAATATATGTATTTTTCAAGTTTGTATTGCTGTTTATTTGCTTAAATATCTAGATTTACTTGCTCTATGTGCAGGAGAGAAGCAGGTGTTGATTGTTGGTCGTGGTGAATTAAGACATTCTCAAGAGTGGTTGGGTAAAGGATGGGCTCAAATTAATGACAGGCCGGAACTTGTGAGCTTAATCTCATGTAGTTTAGATACAAAGCAAGTTGTGGGAAAGTGTTCAGATGACGTGTCAGCACAATCTGCAGTCTGCGATAGCGAGCCGCTAGAGAAAGAAGAAACCAGATGGAATAATTCTGTTCCGCTTGCTGAAGATGATAAAGATGAAAGGGTTAAAGAACTGGGCAAGGTTCCAGATCTTTTGAAGGATGATCTACTTGCCCAGCTGAAGTGGAGGTCCTCAAGGAAGAGAAGACGTGGAAACGGAAACTCTGTCCAGAAGCTGCATTGCGTTGTTTTGGATGGTAAAAGCACCCGTGGCCTTGTGGGATCCGGTGCTTGTGAAAGTTTTATGATTTCATCGTCGCTGAAAGTTGACCATGAGAACTGCAAATATTTAGGGGATTCTCTTTTCAGTTCTTCAGTCGCGCCTCCGCTAACAAGTTTAGTGATGTAGGTTTGTTCTTTCTTCATCCACAAGTAAATATTTTGTTGCGGTGCGTCTTTTTGATGCCGCTGTTTTTTAGGCCCCTCTTAAGCTGTCAGCAGAATGTCATCTCTTGAGAAATGTGTCGTTTGAGAAGCCATGGCATCCATGTCCCTCTCGCCATGTACGTATTTAACTATCTGTTCTAGTGCAGCAAATTGCCTGAAGGGGCCTTATGCCCCTGCAAAAATGTCAGGCAGAAATTTTGGGTACAAGTAGAGACGTAGAACAACCATTTTCTTAGTATTTATTTAGAGATTTTTAGACTTCCTCCCCTTTTGTATATCGTATGTTGGTTTCATAAAATTTTAACCTGTCACCTTCCCTATATGGACTTCATCGTCGTCTTGCGAAAGATTAATGTAATGGAATTCGATGAAGTTAGAACGCATGACATAGTATGTTCAGGTATCTCAAATGTGGCTGAAGGACTGGTTTTGACGTGTCTGTATTTTATGACATGAGTATGACTAGTCGTGTGATGAGAAGGATAAAAACGATTTTTTTTTATACCAGCAGTATTTAAAAGGATGAATATATTTTCTTACTTTTTGTCATGACCGTTGGCCATTCGTCTTGGTCGCCTTTATTTGACTTGGTCGCCTTTAAACACAGCAGCTATATACAATTATACAATCAACTTTTTCTTCCACAAGTTTTGATTAGATATGGTTGTAGGGAAGGGAAGGGAAGTATCCTATGCAAAACAGTTGAAAACTTGGGAAGATGATACTTACTGGATTCTCTTTGTGGGGACTTCGGGGATCAAGCAATTAAAGTCGTTTATCGTATATTGTACGGTTAAAAATTATTTTAAATTTTAAATTTTAAATTGAATATAAATAGTATCTAACGAAAACTGACGACGATAAACGACTGTAATTGCTTGATCCCTTGGATTCCTACAAAGAGGATCTGGCAAGGATCCCTTTTCCGAAAACCTTGCAAGAACAGAGCTATATAACACTAGGTAAAGCCTACCAAAATGAGAATTTTTTTAATGTACCATGAACTCGGTCCTACACCAAACGTTATAATACACAAGTTGTTGAATTTTTTTTTTTAAAAAAAAAAAATTCAATTACAGACATTATGATACAGCATACTTAAAGCTCTTATCCACCAAAATTAAATACATAATTGGCTCTAAAATACAGCTGTATCGCGCTCAGTATTGTCCTACGACATCACTGTCATGTAGAAGTGTTGTCGCATCAAGTATGGAGAAGGAAAAATAGAGTTTTAATGAAAAAATTACGGTGCTTTTTACTTTAACGAAAAATCATATATTTACATTAAAATGTTAATCTTAGTATTATTTATTTTATCTTTTATTTTATTCTTATCATTAAAACTTAAAATTTTTAAGTGATTTTCATTATTTTTTTTAAGAAAAAACCAGTGCTGTAGTGGGGGAGAGAGAGGGAGGGAGGGAGAGAGAGAGAGAAGGGGGGGGGGGTGGGGGTTGGGCACGCGCAAATATAAAGCAAGGAAAAGACACTTCTATGCTGTTGCTGTTTTAACAAGTTTTTATTTCTTTGTTTCCTTCTCCTTCCACCAACCGGAACTGCAAGTCTAAAATTACTAATTTTACTGAATAACTCATTCCCTGAAAAAAGTAGTAAGGCTCTGTCAGTCGAGGGGGAGCCGCTGCTTGATCGTTTTCTACTTACACTCATGAGATTGAGATTTCAACTTTCCACCTTACTTTCTTCGTGATGACGACGATCTAATTGCTGTTGTGTTTAAGTAGTGGGATCGCGGCCTGCAGTGGTACTCATCATCACGGCTTAAGAAGAAGCTCCCTGCAGGATTCGGAATCAGCATGAAGTCTCGGAGCTTTTCGCTTTCTCCCGCAACCAGTCTTGCCTCTGCTGAATCCTTGTCCACGCCTCTGGTTTGTTCCCTCCCTCTCCCTCTCCCTCTCACTCTCTCAGGATTCCTTCTTTTACATTTAGGTCTTATCATTTCTTTAGTTTTTGTTGTTGCTGAAAACAGTTGCAGGAAGTTGTTCTCTCGGCTGATGTAAGTTGCAGTGATTGCCAGAAGAGACTTTCCGACATTATGTCAAAAATGGGTGGTAGGTTTCCTCTTCCTCTTCATTCAGATGATTTGGAATCTGCATTTGTATAATTTAGGGTTCATGTATCTTCATACAGTTTTCCCTGCACTGTTTAACGCAACATAATGTACGTCCTGCACGGAGAATATTTGTTGCATACACAGTATAACTCCGCATAACTTTACCAATCTTGGTAAGACCTCAAAAAATACGACTAGAGGTAAAATAGTATATACAAAGTTGCAGTGTTTATGCTACAGAAATATATGGACATACAATAACCCCTAATTGTGCATCCAACGTGTTAGTATGTTTTGTTGGCGGCGATAAATTAACTCATTATCGATGACGTATAAACAATCAGTTCTTTTACGGTGGTTGAGAGCCATGAACTTTAGCTGCAGTAGCGAGTTGGTAACTTCTTTAACTCAGAGTGACAAAATGTCCTTGGCCAGGAAAGAGTGAAAGACTATAAATAAGCTACATGTTCCATACCAGTTGTACACGATTGTCTGCTAGTCATGTTTTAGGGCATCTCGTTCACCAAAATGGACCACCTCTGCATGTGCTTTCACGGGCGCTTCAGATAATTTGATCTACTTTTGCAAGTTACAATTACATAGATCATAGCACTGTTTTGTTTTATTAGCACAGTAAACATGGAACATTGTTTGCATGCTTGAGCAGAGGTAGAATCGGTTGTGGTGAATGTGTCGGAGAAGAGGGTGACGCTCGTATGCAGATATCCCGGTGCAGCCACAGTTCCATCCACTCGGCTAGTCCCTGCAGTATACAAAAAACCTCTAAACAAATTTTCGTTGATTCGAAGGATGCTTCGTTCTTCCTCATGTTGATTGAATATTCCAAGCCGAATAAGTCCAACAGAAGCGTTCCTCATTCTTTGAATTCGACATGTATTTTTTGTTTTTTCTCGCGGATTGATATGTACATAAGTAAGTCCGTTGTTCGATTCCATGGTGTTTTGCGGACCGGATTTTCTATAACATAAACCTTTGAATTGAAGAAAAGTGATGCTTAACCTTGCCATAATGTCAGGAAACAGGCAAAGCTTTATGGTAAAGTTAAAGAAACTAAAAGCTTCTTTCTTAACTTGAACATAACCAGATTCCAAAAGTACAGAATATCAATTGGTTCACAATCTTCCACATTTTTCAAATATTCCACAAGCACTTTTTTCCATCGAGACTTTTCTCCCCCAAATAATCAAAACCAACAAAAATTCATCTCAGGTTCTGGCAATTCCAACTTCATGGCAGCAAAGGCAAGTTCTGTGTGTTTCTCAACAGTTTAAGTTTCAATTTACCGAAAAACCGGAGATTCTGACATGGCTGTACGTCTTTGTTTTGTGCATGAATTGCAGTATTGTTGCATGGTGATGAGGCTCAATGTTGATTGCAATGGATGCTGCAGAAAAATAAGAAGGATCCTTCTAAATATGAAAGGTAAGATATCTGTAGATATAGATATCCACGTCCTTAAATTAGAGTAGTTTAAACCATCGTCTTGTCAAAAGAGCAACATATACGTATACATATTCTAATATCTCCGAAAACTAATAATCCAATATCTTTGTTTTGTGCTGAAGAAATAGAGACACATTTGGTTGAGAAGCAGCAGCGCAGGGTGAGCGTGTGTGGGAGGTTTGTACCGGCAGATGTGGCGATAAAGATGAGGAAAAAGATGAACCGCAAGGTTGAAATTATGGAAATCCAAGAGTTTGATGGCAGCGCTGAACAAATGGAGCAAAAGGCTATGATTACTACTTGTAGACCACACCAAGTATATTGCTTCTAGTTATTTGTTAGCAATAATTATATATACATTACAATGCCATTGTTCTTGTTTCCCTAACCACCCTTCTTAATCCAATAAAAACCTCTTAATAGGTGATATAAAAAACTTATCTACTTCATGAAACAATATTCCTGCATAATAAGAGATCATTTGGGAATGCTTTTGACATGCAACCTCAGTAATAATAGGATTTTTTTTAAGCCCCAAAAACCTGGATGGTTGATTGGAATATCTAACAGCCTAGATTTTGCTACATTTGGTAGCCGTTCTTTTCAAATTCAAAATTTTTTAACCTTTGAAAATCCAATGGTCAGAGAAAGCCACGTAGCGCCCTTCCCTAATCTTAGCTGAGCACCTAGGCGCGGACCCCAACTGTGACATCTCACATCGTCTAGGGAAGTGATCTTTATATCTATATTCCTATCCTTACCTAGCACGAAGCCTTTTAGGAGTTCACTGGCTTCGGGTTCCATGAGAACTCTGAAGTTAAGCGAGTAGCGCGAGAGCAATCCCATGATGGGTGACCCATTGGGAAGTTGCTCGTGAGTTCCCAAAAACAAAACCGTGAGGAAATGGTAAGCCCAAAACGGACAATATCATACAACGGTGGTGGAGCGGACCCGGGAAGTGATCCGCCCGGGCAGGGATGTGACACCAACTCTATCTGTTTGTCAGCTCAATCGCCATATTTAGCGTGTGTAATGTACGCGCTTGGTGGAAAAAATTTGTTAACGTGGTTGACATCAGCTTAATGTTAGTTCATCCCAATCGATGGGTCTGACGATTTGGGGCTGAGTTCTCTGTCGAGCTCCCCTGGAGGCTGGAGCCCAATTAATTGGTGAGGCTGGAGTAATTTTGGGGAGGGAGGATTGGATTGCCCAATAGCCCAGGATGTATTCATGGGGTGGATGTACTCTAATATAGGCCCAATAAGCCGATCAACAGACAACATATAGAATGAATAAATGGATAAAAGAAAATAAAACATTAATAGAAGACCATCCAAACGCAGCGTTTGACGTTGCAGTTCCGATTCAATAAGGAAACCCATACGTCACGTTCCCAGTCTCAAATCTCAAAAGTATATATAATTTTCTTCAAAAAATCTCGTAAATTAAAACGAAATATCTCGCTGGCTCACGACTCTGTGACAAAACCCCAAAATCAGAAAAACGACAAAAAACCAGCCCCTAACCCTAGATTTTCCGATGGCCAGCGACGCCCAGGACTCCCATCGCAAGCACCGCCGGGCCTCTTCCGACGACGACGAGGCCGTCGAGAAGTCGTCTAAGCGCCACAAACTCCGCCACCACCGCCGTCACCACCGTCACCGTCACGGGAGCAAAAAGCGCGAAGAGGAGACCAAGGCCGTCGTCGACGATGTCGAAGCTCCTCCATCGCCTCCTGTTAAGTTATCTGATTCCGGTGTCAATGGTTCTATGCCGGTTGAAGACGTGGAGGAAGGCGAAATTCTCGACGAGGAGGGTGTCGGTGGTCGCGACGACGGCGTTTTGAAGACGACAGCGGGCTCTGATGCAGAGTCTGGTGAAATTGAGGCTCCTGGAGTTGGCGATCATTCCAATAAGCGGAATCTGGTGTGTTCTGATTTCGCCCCATTTTCTTCTGATTTTTCATTTGCCCGTTGCTTGCTTGTTTTCATGAAATTTATAATTAATTGGTTTTCAAATTTAAATGGGTTTTCATTTTCTTTTCACTTCTTTAAAATTTAATTAGTTGAAAATCTTGGAAATTTGGTAGTTTCAGTGGCCAAAAGAGTTTTACATTTCGTTCTTAACTGTATGATGAAATTTTGTTTGGTGAGAGCTTGTTCAAGTGGCTGAGTCAAAGCCATTGTTTCATACATATGTAAGAACCCGCTCTTGCATTAGCCGAACATGAATCAATTGCAAAAGAAGTTACCCTAGGCGTTTCAATCAATGAAGACTGATGCCTTACTGTTAATTTGTAAGAGTTGGTTACATTGCATATTATGTTTTTAACTAACTTTTTTTGTTTGTTGTCCTCGGATTGGTGTTAATTACTGCAATTTGTGCACTTACGTTTTTTTTTTTTTTCCTGGTGTTTTTGGCAGAGAGACACTGACATTGATAAAAATACAAAAACTGGGGGAGACCTCAGTGGTGATGATGATACCAGCGGTCATGTTGGTGGTAAGTCTTGGAATGAGGCTGGTTTGCCTAGAGATTCTAGTGTTGAGCCTCAAGATGAATTAGTTTCCAGTGGTAGTGTAAAGGATGATGCCCATGGAGATTTGGCTTTTCACAAAGAGAAGGGGCGACACAGGGAGTTTGGGTCCCCTTCTAGAGGAAGTGATAAGCGAAAGAATTACTATGATGATGAAAAAGAAGATAGAGGTAAATTAGCATATCGAAAAAAGGCATCATCTGGAAGTAGTGGGGACAAATACAATACCTTGGTGCGCTCACCATCTGGGGATAGGCGCGGTGATGAGCTGCACGGTAGGAGGAGATCAAGGTCGTACGATCCTGTGAGGGAGAGATCTCGCTCCCGTAGTGCAATAGAAGAAGAGTCTCTTTCAAAAAGGAGACGTTATCATGAACGGGACAGCTCAATATATGTTCAGAAAGGCAAGGCTGTGCGCGGCTCTGATGATGAAGGAATGGCTTGGGGTATTGACAGTGTTGATCTGATGAGGGATGATGAAAGGGAACACAATGTTAGGTATAGCAGATACTCTGGATTAGGCCGTAGTCGAGAAAGAGAGAGAAGTAGGGAGAGGGAGGCAGATCAGGAACAGAGAAGGGAGAAAGATCAAGAAAGAATCAGGGACAGGGAACGGAGAAGGGAGAAAGAAAGAGAAAGGAGTAGTGACAGGAAAAGAGGAATAGGACGAGACCATAGCAGGGAAAGAGTGGTTGATATGGAAAGGAGAAGGGAAGAGCGGCATAGGAGCAGGGACAGGAATAGGGATGATAATAATAGGAGCAGGGACAGGGTCAAGGATGATAGGGACAGAAATATGGAGAGGGGCCGTAATAGGGACAGAAATATAGACCGAAATTGGGAGCGGCGAGATGATAGAGACTGGGATAGGGGTCGAGATATGGAGAGGGAGAAATATGAAAATCATGAGGATAGCTATGGAAATCGAGATAGGCATAAACATTCTGCTCGATCAAGGCATGATGAAAAAGAATATGACCAGGACAGAAGAAGTAAAACTGATCCAGGAAAGGTACAGATTCCAAAGAATTATTCTGTTGAAGGTGATGAAGGCACGAAAGAAAGGTAGTTGCTTGTTTTAAACACACCACCCCCTCCCTTTCCTTTTTTTTTACCTTTTGATGCATATATTCCTTTTTTTTTTTTTTTTTTTTTTTTTCTGTAGAGATGAAGATGAAGAAGAAGGCATTCAAGTTGCTGGCCAGGAAGAGGATGATGTGGATAGAATAAAGGAAGAGTCTCGAAGAATAAAACAAGCCATCTTAGAAAAATATAAAAGTCAGCAGTCACAACAAACAAATGAGTTGGGTCTACAAGAACAAACTGAGTCACAGTTGCAGCAGCAATTTGAGCCTCAGCCTTTGGAACAATCCGCAGATAAAGGTCCTGCAGATCATCTGGAGCAATCAGCAGCTGCTGTCCAACCTGGTCTAGAAACTGATGATGGAAGGAGTGATGGAGATGTGTCTGTTGCTGCATTTTCCGTTTCACCTCAGCAGAATGGTGCTGATACTTCTAGAATGCCTTCTGGTGCCACAGGGCTTGGAGAGGGTACTCCAGAGGTCAGTCCACTGAAATTCATATTATCCAGATTTTTTTTATGAATATTTTTTTTATTATGAAAACATAGATTCATTTGTTGTGGAAACGCGAAGTTTTATATTCTTATATCCAAACTTGACTTGCTAGGTTTTGAATTTAACTGATTTATGTGATTTTTATTTTTATTTTCAACTTGTGCAGAGTGAAGGAGCTGTTGGCGTTGATGATATCTTTGGTGAGACCCCGGTTGGAGTACGAAAATTGGTGAGTCTCAGTGGTATGCATACGTTAGTTTCCTATGCAGTGCAACTTTGTGCTTGCAATTATGGCGTGGATTAGAAATTCATAGATAGTTAAGTAAATATGGGTCTAATCTTATATCCTGAATAACGTGCATTTGGTTGATCTGGTATTAGTTTGGTTTAATGTGCACATGTTTTTGTCTTGCATGGACAACAATGAGAAAGCTTTGGCCTTTGTTCACATTGCTTGTTACTCTGCACTTCAGTTCACATGTTTATCCATTTGTGATTGATTTTGTCATAGTTGTTGTGAATTTGCATTCACGACTGCAGTTTCTTTAATTTCATTCAACAGTTTCACACGGGCAATATCTGAAACGACGTTTTTCTCATTGTGTCTCATTTGGAAGATTATCTGGAGTGCTTTATGTTTTTTTGTATATTTCATACTTAATTCAATAAACGATTTAGTAAATTTGGTGTGTTAGAACTTTAGAATGACTATTACTCAACAGCTAGACTTAAATCTTTTGCACTATTTCGTGTGCAGGGAAAAGGAGATCATGTACGAATTGAAAGGAGTGGTCTTCATGATAACTGGGATGATGCAGAAGGGTACTACAGTAAGTACATGACCAGTTCTAATATGTCTTTCCTAATTATTGTTATTTCTTGCTAGGAATTTTCCCCACCTATGATAGGCTTTTAATGGTCTTTTTCAGTTAACAGTTGCATTGCCATGCCTCCCCCTTTTCTTCATGCAGTGCTCTAAAAAAATCTTGCATCTCCATATAGCCCATCCAATGTTCTCTCTTATTGGCTGAATTAGTTTCTGCCCTATTCTTCACTGTTTACTGTTCTCGGTTGCATTCGAATTTGTACAGAATATAATGCTGCGTTACTTGATTGCCTAGGTTGATATTTCATCCAAGACATTTTTTTCGTACTGTATTTTTACTTTTCTCATTTGTTATGATGTTCCTTTGCAGGTCACCGTTTCGGAGAATTACTTGATGCTCGGTATGAAATCACTGCTGCTCATGGGAAGGGTGTCTTTTCAACAGTAGTCCGTGCAAAGAACCTTACAGTTGGTAATGGTGAACCTGAAGAAGTGGCAATTAAGATTATACGGAGCAATGACACTATGTAAGTGATTATGATACCACTTGCGTTGCTATTAGCTTCCTCACAAAACCACCCCCCCCCCCCCCCTCAACCAAATGAATTGCAATTACTCTTTTACCTGTTTTCTGGCTGCTTTTATGTGAATAGGTTAAAGGCTGGTATGACTGAGTTGACCATATTGAAGAAATTAGCGGGTCATGATCCAGATAATAAGCGCCACTGTGTTCGTTTTCTGTCGAGTTTCAAGTATCGAAATCATCTTTGTTTAGTGTTTGAATCCCTTCATATGAATCTTCGCGAGGTCTTAAAGAAGTTTGGGCGCAATATTGGTCTTAAGCTAACTGGTGTCAGAGAATACGCTAAGCAACTTTTTATTGCACTGAAGCATTTAAAGAACTGTGGTGTCCTTCATTGTGATATAAAGCCAGATAACATGCTGGTAGGTGTTTGCTACTCTGTTGATTGGATTGTATCTCGAATCATTTATGTTTCTCATAGTAATTTATGTTTCAGGTAAATGAGTCAAAAAATGTGTTGAAGCTGTGTGATTTTGGTAATGCCATGTTCGCTGGAAAGAATGAAGTTACACCATACCTCGTCAGCCGCTTTTATCGTGCTCCTGAAATAAGTAATTTTTCTTTTCTTTGCTGTTGAGCTAATGTTAATTTTTTCAAGTCATGGGATATCGGGATGCATTATTCAGTTTTTAAAATATATCCTACATGACTAGTATGTCCACGTAAAATATTGATCTGGTATTTGATGTCTTGGTTGCAGTTCTTGGCTTGCCTTATGATCATCCACTGGATATCTGGTCAGTTGGTTGCTGTTTGTACGAACTTTATACAGGAAAAGTACTTTTTCCCGGTGCTACAAACAACGATATGCTACGTCTTCACATGGAACTGAAAGGCCCTTTCCCAAAGAAGATGCTTCGGAAGGCAAGTTTTGGGTTTGACATTCACCAACATGTTATGTTTATGTATAAATATGTTCTAATATCTCATTACTGTTTTGGCTGTTCTTTTATCTAGAAGGTATTCATTTTGCTAATATTTTTCATGTCTTGGTTTTTGTTCTTATAGGGAGCTTTTACACATCAACATTTTGATCAGGATCTGAACTTCCATGCTACAGAAGATGATCCTGTTACAAAGAAGGTATGCATCTGTTGTCTGGCTTGTTTCTATCTATTTCTTGTCAAGTATCAGAGTTTTATGGTTTCCTATCAAGTTTATGAGTTTTAAATTCTGCTTGTGCAGGCAATCAATCGGGTGATTTTTAATATAAGGCCAAAAGATATTGGATCACTTATTACGGGTTCTGGTGAGAATGCAAAGATGCTAGCTGATTTTAAAGATCTTTTAGATAAAATGTTTGTATTGGATCCAGACAAGAGGTTGACAGTATCACAAGCTTTGAACCATCCGTTCATCACTGGCAAGTGAACCCTGTTGCTGCTTTACTGACTCCAGAATTCCTGTTGAGCTAGATATTTGTACATTTGACCTAATTCATACAGTTTCTAATAATTGGGCATTATCTCTCTTCTCTGTGATGGCCTGAGAGCTTTTGGCACAGTTTTGGCATGGTTGAAGTCAAAAGGGGGTGATGTTTTGGTCAGGAGTACTCATTACTGGCGGGGGTTCTTTCAGTGGATTGTACTGTTTCTATCGTAAGACAACTAGCCAAAGGCGTCTTTTCCCCCTGTAATCATTCATGGTTGGCAAATATGAAAATTAATTACATCCATTTTAACTTACCATCATGATTATATGTGTATTCTGAACTTGGTTTCTGCAATTTAATCTGTGGAACAACAGGAGATATATTTATCTTCAACAGTTGTTTACAAAATATGCACTTGCATTTTTCTTTCTGTACTTTCCTCTCTTACTGCGTACCTATTTTTCTTGGTTGCTTGTATTGGAGTTCATTCTTCAGTAATTGTGGTCTTTAAAATTTAGTTTACAATTGGTAGGTTTGTTAAACATCCTTCACTTTCATGTCCTTTGTCAGTTGTACCTTTATAGCCACTGTTTCTTAATTATTTGGGTTCTGGAGATTCTAATTTGACTTTTCATTCAGGATATGTGATACTGCTATGAGGCAACCCTCCAGTGCTTAGATGCTTAAAGGGAACCCAGGAGAAGGTACCTTGGTTTTGCTTATTAGGAGAATATTGTGAGGGACGTAGAAATAAATGTCATTTATGCTGCATGCTTTGCCTTTCTGTTGTTCCTAGATAAAGCTACTGGGTCGCTTGGAAACCTATTTAAATTGAATCTTAGTGTCACTGCTCTGGATTAAGTTGGCTTTCTTTTTGGTGCGAGGATGGTTACTTTATTTACTTACTCGAGTATTAGTTATCTGATGTATATGTGCATGCATGTACATGCATTCTGAAATGTGCATTGGAACTTCTAAATCAGGGTTCAGTTGATGCGTTGTACCATGTCATGTTTGTTTTCTTTGACGTGTTGTATTCAGACATCTATGTTTTTCTTTCAGTCTTTGTCTGTGCTTGAGAGCGTTGTATGTTACTTTTTATTTGTTTGTTTTACCTTTTAAATACATGCATATCCTAATGAGATTGCATTGCATCTGATTCATGGTCATTCTGGAGGCACTTGCACAGGAGGCATGAGGCTGCTGCTGGGTCTATAACAAATTCAGAGTAAGTGAGCTTATGAATTTACTCCTTATGTGCAGCGTATTTCATTACGATCTATAGTATTAATTTTGTTGCTTATGTTTTTAGGGTATGGCCCCCATGCTCCTGCTCCTGCTCCTGCGCCATCTGTAAGTATATTTATGTCTAATTTGGTGTGCATTTTATGTGAAGTGAAATTTAAAGAAAACACAATTTAACTCCAATTGAAAAATTAAAACATAACTAGCATATTAAGTTTCCCTTGAAACTAATGTACTTATGGAGGTTGCTTAACCTTATTTGATTTCACGACATTGATCAGCACTTTTGAACACCTGGAAGGAATACAATGCCATGAAATCAAATAAGGTTAAGCCACATTGTTGGCCTGCACCTTCAGAGGTCGATTCTTGTTATTTGTTGGCTACTCAAAAATATTGCCTGTGCGGATGTGCTTTATTTGTTTTGGCTTCTCTGGTACGCCCGACTTTAGGTTTTTCTTAACACTTGAGATTTTTTGTTGTACTTTCATAGTATCATAGCTTTACCATGTGGAACTGTTACTGATATTTTTCTATAAGCCCAACTTCTCTGTGAGGTTATCATGGATTGAAGGATACCATTTGCTTATGTTTCTGTTGTCCATTTTGTTAAAACTGATCAATTTTTTTTTTTTTGTTGTTTTTCGTTATTGATGAGCGTGAAAGAACATGCTATCATTCATTTTACTCTGAATTTCAGAACATCCTATTTTTCTTGTCCACAGTTTTCAATTATTACCTTGCATCGTCGTTTAATGTACGTATGCCAGTTTTGGAATCGTTGATAAGCTCGATTGTTATCATAATTTGGTTTGTAACGTGTTTTTGGTGTAATTAGTTATGGTTTTACTCTGGTTTTTGTTTGATGTCACCGTCAACGAGTTGTGCTGATCTAATATGCTCTTAGTTGACCTAAGATGTTATGCTAGCTTCACGTTAAGCCGGGTTGATTTGTAATTGGAAATGAAAATTCCCAAGAGGGTCTTGATTTCTTCAATCCTCCGTTTTCTTGGTGTGGTGTTATTCTTTGTTTGTGGCTGCAATAGCCAAGATTTGATCTCTATCTCTGCTGTCTACAACGGAAGAAAGTCTTTTTCCAATTTTCCACCGAAGTTATATTCCAAATTAGACGATGCATATAGTAAATGAATAGAGACATAATTTTTGTAATACTTAATTTACCATATCGTACGGCAACTACTGTTGATATTATATATTTCAATCAATTCTCTCTTATGAAAATGGATTAGTTCTCGAACGTTTGATGCCGAAAGTTGTTTAATTTCACTGAATCTTTATATATACTCTTGTTAAATCAACTAGACGTGTTCCTTGTTTTAAGTTTTGTGTAGAGCTCGTTTGCAGCGGTGTCATCATCCAATTATTTAATACTGTAATAGTTGGATGATACCATGTTCCCAAAACTAGTTTTCAGGAGGTGCTAAATGTCAATTGCGTGGGTTAAGCGCTTTTGATAATTTTGGGGTCACTTTTGTAGACTGGATGGCGGGGTTGTGTTTTTTGTGGTCAAATAAAAAAGTGGAGGGGACCAGTTCTCGCACTATCTTCCAATTTTTGGACACAATCGCACGAGAGATCTCCGAGAAGCTTCATCCCCACACGCCATTATTTTCCAAATGCGCAACCGAGTCCACACTAAAAAGTGCTCGCTGCCACCCGACTCCTAAACGGGCAATTGGTTGGTTGGTGATATTGATTAGCCAAGTAAACGAAAAAGCAATGGAGAATGATTGTGGAAGTAATTCTCCTTTAAAAATTGTGGGTGGTTGCTTGACGTGCTCTTGTGCCTTAACTAGTAACTGAGGGGAGTGGATGGTTCGAAAAGAAAACTCAGCTTCGCCAAACCCTCGCATGTTGTTTAAAAAAACTCCGTACGGTGGCGAATACACTTTATTTCTGTTCACAAAAAACTTAAAACGATGACGAGTTTAGGGTTGAGTGATAAAATCTAGCCTTACACACAAGAGCAATTTACATGAAATTAAATCGGCATCGTAAATCATACATTGTCATGTGCAGAAAAACTTGCATGACAATGTATTATTACACAAGTTAAGCTCTGTATCTTCTTACACAGGAACATATAAAGTATGACTTGAAAGAATTCATGTTGGGCCTAATGTTTCAAGTGACACGTGTCTGAAGAGCCTAATATCAACTACATCCCTTCTTGCTCTTGATAAGAGACTTTTCAGTGGAATCGGCATACGGGATGGTACACCACGTGTCACTATATAAATGTTGGGATATGTGTGTTAACAAGTTAATAACTTAAAAAATAAAATTTCTCACCACTTACAAAAAAATACATGGTGTACCACTCGTGTTCTCATCACAATAAAAAATTTCTCGCTTTTGACAGATTTTTAGTGTGTTTGGAACACGGATACATATGTCATATGTCATTATATAAGAAGAGTGCCACTAAGGAAAAATAAATGCTCTCCACATATATAATGACATATGACGTACCATTCCATGTTGCAAATACATTAAAAAAATCTCTCCTCGCTCCTCTTCGTAGAAATTGTCCAACTAAAGACTAAATAATAAACCGCGTTTATTCAAAACCACGTCTCCACTCGGCCCGTCGTCTTCTAATTTCTATCTAGAAACTTAACCCCTAAGCCGAAAAAGTCACAGAAAACATGCACAAGTACAACAAAGAAAACTAAACAAAGCCCGCGTCAGCAACACCTCCTCTAAAGTCCGAACGACTCGTAAGAAGTCGTAGTCACCTAGTATTTCTCCATCGTCGTCAGCCTTAAAGCAGCAAACGATTCAGGACTCGTTTGTTGCCTTGCTCTTTGTACCACAGCACCTGGAATTATCGACCGAGAGAGAGAGGGAAGAAGAAGAAGGCGAAAAAATGGGAAGAAAGCTCGATGCTTTGCTTGGAAGGAGTCACAAGAACACCGCCAAGTTCAAACCCACTTTGAACCTCGCTCTCTCTCGCCTTGCCGTTCTTAAGAAACAGCGCCAGGCCAAGTGCTCTCAGGCTCGATCCGATGTCGTCCAGCTCCTCCAGCAGGGTCACCAAGATCGCGCTCTTCTGCGCGTAAGTTTCCTTGTAAAGTATTCAGTTTGCAGTGCAACGAGGGGGTGTTTCCTTTTGTTTGAGATTTTGTAAGGGCTAAAATGTTCTCAGACAATCAAAAGCACTTGACTATGATTGACAGAAAAACTTTAAAATGTTAGCACCTGAATTTTTAGATTAAAAGCGCTTAAATGGTATAATAAAAGCATTTCTAGCAAGATTTGAAATTTTGAGGCTGAAAGAGATTTGGTTTTATGTTGTTGGCAGGTGGAGCATGTGATCAAGGAGCAGAATATGTTGGATGTGTTTGTCATGATAGAGGGTTACTGCAACCTCGTGATCGAAAGGGTTCATCTCATTGAACAAGAAAGGTTTGGTTTTCTTAATCTAGTTGGTATTCCTTAAATCTAATTTGGTTGCTTTTTTTTTTTAATTGGTATTGGTCTAATGTAATTACTTTTGCGGTGTCTTTGTTCACATAGGGAATGCCCTGATGAACTGAGGGAGGCAACATCGAGTTTGCTTTATGCGGCTTCAAGATGCGGGGATTTTCCGGAGCTTCAAGAGATTCGTGCGGTTCTCACTGCTCGTTTTGGCAAGGAATTTGCTGCTCGTGCCATCGAAGTGCGCAACAATTGTGGAGTCAACCTCACGGTAATGATCTGGAACAGACTTAAGTTTTCTTATTAATTTCGATGCAAAGCTTACATGTTTGTCAAAACAGAAATTAGGCATGTTAATGATCTGTGTGTTTTTCGGTTTTTGAAGATGATGCAAAAACTGTCAACTAGGATGCCAGTTTTGGAGGTCAGAATGAAGGTGCTCAAAGAAATTGCTGCAGAGAATAACATTGTTCTGAAGCTGGAAGAAACGTCTTCTGTTTACACCGAGGTATGTAATTTGGAAGAATAACGGGAATTCAGAGAGGATTAGAACCGAGGTATCGTATTTGCTTTGAACTTCGAATATTATTCATGGTATCTGAGGTTTGCTGTGTGTGATCAACAATGCAGGATAAATCGGATGTGAACAAGGCCGGTTCAAGTGGCACGGGATCAGCAGATAATGTGCAGGCTTCTGCAGAAGAGGCGGGAAATGATGATAGGTTCTCTGGTTCGATTAAGCCAAGGAAATACAAGGATGTGGCTGATGCAGCTCAAGCAGCTTTCGAGTCTGCAGCTTACGCAGCAGATGCTGCTAGAGCAGCAGTGCAACTCTCTAGGTCTGAATCTCAAGATCCTGATGATCAAAATAGTCCCGGAAGTAAACGAGGAAAGTTATCTGACAGATATGAATCCTTTAAAAGTCTATCTGAATCGCAGCATGAGCAAAATCGAGGTGAATTAAAGAGGTCGACATCTTCTTCAAGTTTAGATTCAGATGGAGATGAGGTGATTCCGATGTCCTCGGATGCCGTATGGCAGGCCGATCTTTTAGGGAAGGATATAGTTTTTGATGAGAGTGAAAGCGACAACGAACCAAATACAACACCCTCGTCTCATAACCAAATTCCTTCGAGGTTTCGATCTGGCTTGAAGGCGGAGTCAAGGCTTGATTATCCTGCAGCACATGTCACTGGAGGATCTGGAAGGCAAAGCCCACCGCGATTAAACATAGAGAAGGGACCGTTCTCTCTGAGGACTAGACGGGTGCGTGGCTTCTGAGAAGAAGAATAGTCTTGTTTGTTATATTTCCTTATCAGTTTTGCTCGTTGTGCTAATAAATTCCGTTGCATATAAATTTGATTGTTTCTTTATCTCTTTCTTTGTTTTCGGGGAAATGTAAACTTAGTAGATACTATAAACTGTGCCGAAACGCCATGGAGCTATAGATAAATTGCTGCATGTATATAATATATAAAGGTTTCAGTATGTTAAATTGACGACTGATCGACTAATCAACGGATGCACAAGCCTAAGATAATCCTTTTGCTAGTAACACCAAGAAACTAATTTCCGAATATTTGTCTAATGCACGACATCACCTGAAAAACTCAGAAGAGTCTAGACCGCTTGTTACTGCGCAGGTCACTAAATGACTGCAAACTCACACCAACGTCTTCATCATATTCGATCCCGAGTTCCTCCTGCAATAGCACAACAGACGATTCACAACCAGACCATAGAAGCACATAAGACGGAACATCCAAATACAGGCATACCTTAAATTCCTTAACATCTTTCGGTGAGTTCTCAGTAATAGCATCCCACAGATCTTTGAACATCCTTCGACGCTTTCTCCACTGACTTATTTTCTCAGAGACCATTTGCTCAACCGCCTTGCGGTCTTCTGGCTTGACCAACGTAACTCCTCCGCGCAATTTTTCCAATCTATCCTCCATTTCAGCGACCTAATACAGAATCCAAAACACCAGACTTGATCCAAATTCCATACACTTTATTTCCAATCACATATTTTGACCTAATGATAGCACAAACGTATCCAATCAACTTACCTCCTTTCTCAGTTTCGCTTCTTTGTCCCGTATTTGCTCTAGAGTCAAATTTGCCTGCAAAGTTTTAATTTCTGCAACAAAAGTGCATCACCAAATTTCACGCTCAGTAAGGCAAAGTCGAAAACCAGTCAATTAGTGAAAACATGAAATGTAGTAAGGACTAGTAATCAGGTACCTCCCTCAACCTCGCTAATCGCTCTCTTTTGTTCACCCAGCTGTTCCTGCAGTTTCTCATTTTCTTGCTTCATCCGGGTAAGCTCCTCGCTGTTTGGAATATCGAACTGGTCCTGCCGAGCCAGGTAGACCTTCTGCTTACCGTACTCCTTGAACGAAATCTTCCCATTATCCGCAAGCGCATCCAGCGCCTTTTGTATGGCCGCCTTCTTGAGGTTAAACTTTTGCAACGAATCCGCCACATTTTGAGAATTCAGCGGCCTATTTTGCTGGACAAAGATATACAAATTCACATCAGCATTAGGACCTGCACATACTGCACATAGCAAAATTCTGTTTGTTTCCCCAGAAAATATCTACACAAAATTCTGGATTTATGTTTTGTTCCTTCAATTAATTGCTAATTGGAAAAAATACAGGGAATCAAACGGAGGAAAAAAAGAATAACAGCAGCTACTAAAAGGAGAAAATTAATCACAATTCGATTTTCCCACCTCCCAAACAGGCCAAAAATCGGAAGGGAAAAAAATCACATTTCGTCAATTTATTCGACTTTTATAGTAAAATTAGAATGTAAATCGGAGAAATGAAAGATAATTTTACCTCGTTCAAGTAGTTGAGGACGATTGCTGCAACGTTTTCAGAAAACCATAAGCAACAAAGAGGTTTAGCGATTCAGCAAAACGCAGATAGAAAATCAAATCGACTAAGTAAAGAATATCGTAGAGCTCCTCGGATTACCTTCGGGGTTTTCGGATTTCGGAGCCATTGATCGGAAACCCTACGGCTCCGGCAGAAAATCGGAAACTGTACGGAAAATGGCGGGAAGAAGAAGCTTCTCAGAGGCTCGCGAGCTTTTGGCTCTCGAGAACGAAAATAATGAGCTTCCTGCCAGAATACGACGCCGTCTCTCAAAATGGTCATATTTGAATGGACAAATGTACCCCTTGATCATACTCGAATTTACGTAAGCAAACAAAATCGTCAATTTGGCGCTGAGAGGAAGGACACGCAGTGCCGTTTCCTTTCTCAGAAACGATGGCTGTCGTCAGCGCCACATCTCCGTCTCTGCTCTGCTGCACCGACCGCCGCACCGTTTTTTCAGCTAGACCCGCACTAGGCTCTTGGCCCAAGACCCAATTTTGCACACCGAAGCCATTTTTGGCGGCACTGGACTCCCAAACGTGGCCTTCACAACCGCCCGCAACCTACAAAAGGGACTCCAAACTGACGCCTCTCGTGTGCCGCGCGGATCGCCGGAAGCCCACCACCTCCGTCCAGCAGGAGAACGATGGCTCCGAACGGCTGCTTCAGATTGCTCTGTGGCTTGCTGAGGGAGTCTACATTTTGTGGCTTTTTCTCCTTCCCTATGCTCCTGTGTGTAAATTAATGTACACTTTTAGATAATATGTATAATTATCTGCATGTGTGTATATATATATATGTATCATATAATCTTTTAGCTGCTAAAGATATTGCCTTGTTTGATTTCAGGGAGACCCGGTGTGGGCTATTAGTTCGGATACAGTGAACTCTCTTGTGGGGCTCTCTCTTAATTTCTTCTTCATCTTGCCTTTTCTCAACTCCGGTATGCTCGATCAATCTGTTTTTGATTTTCTGATTTCAATTTCCATGTTGCCCGGTGACGGTATCCCAAGTTAACAAGGGGACTAGAGTGCGGAAAAATAAACATGTGACATAAGTGCATTATTGACTTAAGATACCGACATAGCAAAACCTCATCTTAACTATGTAATATCTAGTAGCGGTTAATTTTAATTGATTTTGTTCTTGATGATTTCTGCGTTGAACTTCTTGGCAGAGTAGTTGGTGTTGGTTTGATTGATGCCCCAGTTCTTCACCCGGTATGAATTTGGCATATCAAGTGAATTTGGATTTTACTACCAAGTTGTACACTTTTGAGTATCTTTTTTGACATGGACATTGGACAATTTGTGTTCTTTTGTTCTTGGACTAGATGTCTGAGGGACTATTCAACTTTGTGATTGGGTGGACATTCATGTTTGCTCCTCTGCTGTTCACGGACCGAAAGAGGGACAGATACAAGTGGTCTCTCGACGCCTTATGGGGTTTTCAGATGTTTCTCACAAACAGTATGCTTTCTTCCAAACCTTGATGTTTTCAAACTGTGAACCTTGTTACCTTAATCAATGAATTTTGATCAACGGAAGGGGGGATTCAAACGCAAGATCTCCTCACGTGATTTAGAAAGAGATATCACTAGGCCAAGAGCTAATTGTTATCCGTCTTTGATTTTAAGTTTGCTTTGTAATGGGCATGGTTTTTAGAGACCAGTTACATTTTCCATCAATCTGACCAATTTTGTGTATGTGGTGTGAACAGCTTTTCTAATACCTTACATGGCTATTCGGCTGAATGAGGCTGAGTCCGACTCCACTCCAAGCACGCGCTCACAACTTGGATCAGTGATGACTAGTGGAGCTCCCATCGTTGGACTTGCTGGTGGAGCAATATGTCTAATATCTGCATTATGGGCTCTTTTTGGCCGGATGGACGGCGACTTTGGAAGCATTTCAGACCGATGGGAGTTCTTGATCGGTTACCTAGGATCGGAGAGGCTGGCTTATGCATTCATTTGGGACATCTGTCTTTACGCCGTCTTCCAGCCCTGGTTGATAGGTGACAATCTGCAAAATGTTGAGAGCAGCAAGATTGGTATCGTAAATTATCTTAGATTTGTACCAGTTGTTGGCTTAGTTGCTTACCTCGTTTGTCTGAATCTTGATGAGGAACTGTAGCATTACAGCAAGTAAATGTCTGATTTAAATGAGTGTAACAAAGACAACACAGTGTTGTACAACATGAGCATGAAGCTTCCTCTATTCTTCCCAGGAACAAAGACAAAATTTACAAACCCAAAGACAAGGGTATGAAGTTTCCCCTCATTGGGTAAAGCCACCGGACCAACAGTGTTTGTGTGGAGCTATCCACACCGCTTTTCAACTCTAACGCACCTTCTTTTAATATATATCATTTGATTCTCTTCGATTCATTCGATCTGATGTTTGAAAATTTAAAGGTACGTGGATAAGGTAGATATATATATATATATATATTTTTTTTTTTAAATTTATCAGAGGCTCATATCATATGTTAAAATGATCCAAATAAAATAAATTGATTAAAAAGAAAATGAAAATGGTAATACAATCAGCGCTACGACTTATCTTTATTTTACTCTAGCAAAAACAAGATTGGTACATCGTTTACTATAGCAAGATTGTGAGATGAGATAGGTATAGGATTGTCATAAGAAGAACCATGTATTCAATTTTTTAAATTATGAATACGAGGGTTCTATACAGTAAGTATTTGGTCCCTATAGGGCTTTATCATCCATTTTTACTGCAGTGAAACGAAATCCTTGCTAAAAAGAGTCTCGTGTATAACTAGAGTTATGTGAAGAGACTTATTAGCATCTAATAATGATACGATATCCCAAATCAATAACGCACCCACATGATTAACTTTTCAATGCCACCCCATGGCATCCCTCTCCCATCTGCATGAAAGTGACTAGGAGTGAGATTTAAGTACGGGTCTATTTTTAACCACAAATAGTGTTTGTGTGGTGCTATCCACACCGCTTTTCAACTCTAATGCACCTTCTTTTAATATATATCATTTGATTCTCTTCAATTCATTCGATCTGACGCCTGAAAATTTAGAGGTACGTGGGTAAGGTAGATAAATATGTGTGTGTGTGTGTGTGTATTTTTTTTTTTTAATTTATCGGAGGCTCATATCATAAAGTGACTCAAATAAAATAAATTGATTAAAAAGAAAATGAAAATGGTAATACAATTAGCGCTACGACTTATCTTTATTTTACTCTAGCAAAAACAAGATTGGTATTTCGTTTACTATAGCAAAATTGTGAGACGAGATAGGTATAGAATTGTCATAAGAATAACCATGTATTCAATTTTTTAATTATGAATACGAGGGTTCCATACAGTATGTATTTGGTCCCTATTGGGCTTTATCATCCCTTTTCACTACAGTGAAACGAAATCCTTTCTAAAAAGAGTCTCATGTATAACTAGAGTTATGCAAAGAGACTTATTAGCATCTAGTAATGATACATAGACGATATTCCAAATCAATAACGCGCCCACATGATTAACTTTTCGACGACACCCCATGGCTTCCCTCTCCCATGCGCATGAAGGTGACTAGGAGTGAGATTCAGTACGGGTCTATTTTTAACGACAAAGACGTGTTGCTAAGCAGAAAGACGTCGATTCGTCTTATAAATTTAGGCTGCTTCATTAATGAGAAGTGGCACAGCAGGTTAAAAGGAACAGAGACTCACTTGGGCTAATTTGCGTGCAAACACAAACAGCATGGAAAAGCCACTTTTGGGCAGCTTCAAAGAAGCCGAGTACCAAACAGCAGAAAGCAGGTGCATCTGTTTCAATTCCATGGGCAAAATGATGATGAATTCTTGGAAGGATTTACTAGATTTTGCAGTAAATGCATGGCAAATGGGCCGTTCTGATCCCAGGAAAGTCATCTTTGCAATAAAAATGGGACTGGCATTGTCCACGGTTTCCTTGCTAATATTTTGGAAAAAGTCGTATCGCGACGTTAGTCAGTACTCAATCTGGGCTATCCTCACTGTCATTGTGATGTTCGAATTCAGCATCGGTATGCATGTTTGATATCAGATGTAACGTAACAATTCAGGTCCGTTTGATAACCATTTTTTCGCTTTTAGTTTTCAGTTTTCCGTTTTCATGCAGGAGGGACTTTCATCAAAGGATTTAACCGCGGGCTGGGGACGTTGTTTGCTGGAATGCTTGCATTCTGCTTTGCTGAGTTATCTTTGCTGGCTGCAAAATTGGAGGAAGTTGTGATTGTCATAAGCATATTTATCGTTGGTTCGTATTAGTACTAATTGCAAATTAATATCAAAGTTAAATCCAACCTTTTCTAACTCTTCTTCTCTGTGACACCCTTTAGGATTTTTTGCATCTTACTTGAAGCTGTACCCAACAATGAAGCCCTACGAGTACGGCTTTCGGGTTTTCGTGTTGACATACTGCATCCTAATGGTTGCCGGGAACAGAACAAGGGAGTACAGTGAGGCAGTTGTGACTCGACTGGTTCTTATTGGAGTGGGAGCAGCTGTTTGTTTAGTTGTTAACATATGCATATATCCGATATGGTCGGGAGAGGATCTGCATAACTTGGTGGTGAAGAATTTCAGGGGAGTTGCTACTTCATTAGAAGGTACAATTACAATATGTGAATTTTTTTCAAGTTCTAATCAGCTCTCTGCTCTATTAATCTGCTCAAACTTATTGCTTAGGCTGCGTTAACGGGTACCTAAATTGTGTCGAATATGAGAGGATCCCATCACGAATTCTTACATACCAAGCCGCAGATGATCCACTGTACAAGGGCTATCGGTCCGTGGTAGAATCTACGAGCCAAGAAGAAACTCTGGTATGATTTACCCCAAGTTGGACAAGTGTTGGGGTTGATTTTAGGGCCCGTTTGTATCTTTTCATTAAGAAGTACTTCAGCTTATAAGCACTTCTGCTAGAGATGTTTCTCTAGAAAGCACTTCAACGACCTGTAAGTGCTTGGGAGTTCTGATTTCCATTTGACTTGTTTTTTATGAATGCAGTTGGGATTTGCAATCTGGGAACCACCTCATGGGCGTTACAGAATGTTCAATTATCCTTGGACAAATTTTGTGAAATTAAATGGTGCATTGAAGCATTGTGCTTTTATGGTCATGGCTCTACATGGATGCATTCTTTCCGAAATACAGGTAACTATCCGTGACGAGAAATAAAACTACATATAAATGGTACAGTTTCCTTCACACGCACACTGTTGGTTTGTAATTTTGTACCACATGTAGGCACCAGCAGAAAAGAGGCAGGTTTTTTGCGATGAGCTCCAGCGGGTTGGAGCTGAAGGTGCCAAAGTTTTGCGAGAACTCGCCAAGAAAGTGGAGAAGATGGAAAAATTAGGCTCCGGAGACATACTCAAAGACGTGCAACGGGCAGCAGAGGAATTGCAGAAGAAGATAGACCGGAGATCATATCTTCTGGTCAATTCGGAGAGTTGGGAAATTAGTGCACCACAAAATGCTTCATCAGAGGACATGCTTGGGGACCAAGCATCTCTGCTCTTGCCTCTCTCATTCAGTGGTGGTGATGGAGTGATGAAGGAATATAACCGTGGAACGTATGAAAGCGCAAGCGCCTTGTCCTTGGCCACGTTTGCTTCGCTGCTGATTGAGTTTGTTGCCCGGCTTCAAAATGTGGTTGACAAGTTCCAAGAGCTCGGTGAGAAAGCAGACTTTAAGGCGTTTGTGCCGGATACACCGCCTGCAGAGAAGAAATCTGGGACTTGGCCCTGGCAGTGGCGGATTTGGTGTTTCGGGTATAGAAGTGTTATGAATGAAACCAGGGATGGTCGGGTGTAGGTAAAGATATGCCGAAACTGCTATGCTAGAGTTTCTAACACCCACAACACCTTCAACCTCCTGGAAACCTTGTGGGAATTAGTGATGTTCGAACCACTCTAACGAAAGATTTGCTTGTTACGCTATTCATTCGCAGACAAAAAATGAGTCAATTACATTTCAAACCATCCAGAGTTTGATAAGATCATACATGTCCAACCTCATCTGTGAACCTATCTATCACAAATCACAACACAAAATTGTATCTAGGAATGCTTGCGCTTGGATTTCTTTTTCGATGGTCCTCCAGATTCCGCAAGATATGCTTCTGGATTTACATTCTCAGCCATTCTTTGTATTCCATACTCTTTTGCCTTTTTCTGAAAAACAACCAGCAGAAAGGAAGTAAGGGAAAACAAAACCGATAAGACAACCATGCTTCTAGATAAGATGTAAGCTTTTAGCAATCCTTATTTCTAAATTATAGTTTACCGTCAGAGACGTGGCTACGGAAGTCAGATCTTTGTTACCATCATCAGATTTGGTCTCCTGGACTGCAGGCTCCTGAATCAGAAAAAAGGAAAATTAACAACAGCTCGTTAACTCGTAAGAAGATATATAACTAAAATTATTGAAGCACGTAACACCAAACAAAACAGAGAACACCTATGTCCTACCTTAGGAGGAATGAAAGCAGCTTCTCTTTTTCGCTTATTTTCTGCAGTTTTTTCAGACTGTTTCTCCTGCTTCTCTTGCCACTTCTTTGCGGATTTCACTTTGTCGTTCAAAAAGTATTCTCCAGTTTCCAATTGTATGTCAATCTGAGCAAGCACAGAAAAATGAAAATTTTATGACAACTAAAATGCAAGTTGATATAAAAGAGAATTTGTTCATCCAAAATCAGTTTTACTGGGAAAAGGAAGAACATTGGGAACCAAAGGAGGGATTACACAGCTAGAATCAGACTACAATCAAGAAATAAAATGGTATTAAAAAAAAGTGGAGAAGAAGGCAAACGTGTTCCAGGGTAACATCTAAAAGTTAGGCCTCCACAATTAAGTACGACATAGACTGCTGACATTTTAATATGTTTAGGTAGAGAAGATACTCGATTTATATAGACATAACAGCTTCCAAAAGTAGCTAGTTTTGTTCTGCTCAATCAGGAGAATAGCAACCTTATTATGCCTCATTCACAAGGAACCCTTGCAGGAAGATAAACCATACAAGAGTCTGGTGGCAATTACTCACCTTGCTAGGTTGCTGAGGAGGCGGGAATGGTGTATATGGTCTCTTCTCTTTACTCTTGACCTTATTTTGATTAATATTTTTCCTGGGGAGAGAGAGAGAGAGAGAATAGTTCAAAACTGAAATAACAGCACCTAAGGCACCTCAAAAAAACGTAGGCAGACAATAACAGTTCTCAGCATGCAGAGTTAAAGAAAACTGAAGCAGAAGTCATACTTCTTGAACTTGGGGAGAAATCTATCCCAGTTCTCATGAGCCAGCGCCGGATCCTTTTCAAGTTCTTTCCTCACCATGAGAGTCTGCTTACCAGGCAGGAAGGGATAAAAAGTAAGCGAGATTCATTCACAGGCCTTCAGGTCTAACTTTGTAAAGTGAGAGAGCAATCTTGATGAAATCAAACAGTACAACTATAATCACCTTGATATGAAATATGGGATGCATTGCATTCGTCATGCAGTCTTCCACAATCCTCCTGACTTGCTTCAATGCTTTAAATGAACCCATTACCGAAACGGTGTTTCCCTATTCATTTACAAGAAAACTAAAATTCTTTTGCCACAGTTTCACGTCAAATATAAACGTACAATATAGCAATCAAAATCACAAGGAATAGCACACTTACTTGAACCAGAATATAACAGCCCGTAAGTATTTCAAGTGCCTGTGTCCAAAATTATATTATGAAAGATTAGAGAAACAGAACAAAGATATATCTAATGAAATGTGAAATCACATATAATTGCATGAAATACAATTGCATTATAGAACACGATATCTGGTTTACTCTGTGCACCTTCAAAGTGGATGAATTGGGGCCAATCAGTCGGTCCCGCCGTTTTACAAATCGTTCCTGCACTCAATAGAAAAAAATTGGAATGCTTAACCTAAAGCATCAAACAAATGCTCACATCATCTTAGTGCTAAAACTAAGTCGTGCACCAAAACTGTATATAAAGACTTTAGAGAAAATAAAATAAAATTTTATGGGAAGTTAACTGCATATTAGACTTCAGAAAAATAAAGTAAAATTTTATGGGAAGTTAATCGTTTGGATCTGTTCATAAGAAAACCGACATTCCACCACTGAAAGTAAAATGAAGAAGTATGAAACAACGCACCTTACTTCTCACAAAGCTGCTAATCTTGATAATGTCACATTGCATTTCATCGTTAAGTATTTTTATTGCCTGAACCAAAAAGTTGAGCACTTGAATTAGAACATTCACAAAAAAATGCACAACCCCAAACTGATTTCCATGAAATAGAAAATATATATATACAGGGGTTTGCAAGTAAAGAGAAATAGTATCATGTATTAGTGGTAGATAACATGGATCCTGAGCTCTTCACTAGGATTCGAATATCTGATGTAACACTAATAGCTTATCATTGCTGTTGATTCTGAAGTTCTGAACGAATACTATATCCTAAAAAAGAAAAAGGAATTACATCACAAGAACAAACAGAAGTACCTTAAAAACTACTTCAAACTAGTTGATTCTATAGAAAGCTGATTCAAAGATAAGAAGATAATAACAGTAAGGTACTTCACATTTGTACCTGAGGAGCAGGAACACTTCTTGACAAAAGTTTGATAAGATCCCTAGCTTTGACAATAATATAGGGGTCTTTAGTCTTCCTGGTTGTTGAGACTGTCATGGAACCCTCAACCTAACCACATTACAAACGCAACAGTTATTACGCACATAAAATCCTACAGAATTTGTCATAAGCCACCGATCGATCAAGAACAAAATTCATAAAGGTCAATAAACCAAATTAACAAATACAGGAGTTTGCACAAGTAAAGGTTATTGCTACATACCAGATTCAGTTCACACGTAATGCCATACTCTTTCAAAGCAGATTTCACCACTGGCCAGCATTCTTGCAAGTATTTTTCTGCACAACACAATGCAATGACTCATAACTGAAAGTATAATAGCATAGCGTACGTCCATATAATGCTCACTGGAAAACCAAAATCACGACGGTGCAAAAGCCATATTTCAAACTAGGTTTTATCCTCTTGACCACCTAAGTTCCCCAAATTCACTTTTCACAAGAATTTCAAATACATTTTCTTAGCAACCAAACAAAGTAACAAAATTTAGCATAAGAAAATACTAAACAGTACAAAATAGCTCTAATGGAATTAGGTCAACAAAACAGATACTAACCCAAAATTTTAAACTTCACCCAACATCCCAAACACTTATCTCGTCACTAAAACTTGAAAATACAAAACTTTGAAATTTTCTTTTCTTTTCCCACACTTTCTAGGCAGCCAAACAGATAAAAAGGGAGAGGAACAAGAAGAAGGAGAAGCGAGGAGGCACCTCTGTATTGAGGGAAAAGCGTAGAGAAGGAGGTGACTTCAAGCATGCCGCCTTCGTTCCAAGAAGGGTCGAACTTTTCAATGGTCCAGCGGTCAATGTTAGGATCGTCGTCCCAAGGCTTCGGCTTGCGGTGCTTGTCCTTGCGCCTCTGCGTCTGCTGAGCGCCGCCGTTTTCGCTGGTCTCCATCGTCGTTCTGCTGGTTTTCCTTCGGCGTTTGAAACCCTAGACGTTTAAGAGAGATCAGTGGTGTAAGATTAAAAAAACCCATGGGTCTGGGTTGGCCCGTTACTTTATCCGCCGATTCAAGTAGGAGGGAAAAAACGGCTGTTGTTATTTTGCCGGGACACCAAGACAAAAAATGCCGTATACTCATTGGGGGAATTTCAGTTTTTCTTTACGACAAGTCTAACTTCTACACTAGCAACGGATTTTGAATTTAAGATCATTAGTTTTTAATTTGAAAAAACCTCGCAATCCATCATTTACTTCAGGTTTCCACTATACGTTTTTCATATTTTACTACAAGCTATTCACATTTTAGATATTTCAATGGAGGGACGTTTTAAATATGAGACGTAATGGGTTAAATAAAAAGGAAATTTATTTATACCCATTTATCCTTTTTTTACACTCAATTTATATTTTTTATCTTGAAATTCCAAATATACCCAATAATTCTCTTTTACACCCAACAAAAACAAAAAGAAAATAATAATAATTTAGCAATAGGCAATTCCAGCCACTCTATCTCTTCAAACCTCCACCCAATTTTTAAACTCCCCAACTCCCCACCGCCACCTCCCTTACCACCCACAACAATTTGGAAATTAGAACATTATTCCCAACAACCCACGATTAAAAAACCCAAAAGAAACGTGTCAATATATTTTTTTTTTGGAAAAATTAATTGGTATTATTAACATACGGTCCAACACAATTAGGTTTGACACATCGACAATTTCAGCATAATTCGGACATGTTAGAAGGACTACATTGAAGAAAGAGCTATTGTGTGGTTGACAAAAGGTCAGGAAAAGGACATTGATGATTGAGATCTTTGGGGGTTTCATTGTGGGTGATAAAAAGATGGCGGTGGGGGGTTGGGAAGGGGTAGAAATTGGGGGTGGTTAGGGTTTTGGGGTGATGGCATGCCCCGGGTTTTCTAGTGTTGGAATTTTGTATTTTATTTGTTTGTTCTTCTTCATTATGAGTGTAGAAAAAAAATTGTTGGGCATATTAGAAATTTCAAGATTAAAAACTATAAATTCAGTGTAGAAATAGTATAAATGAGTCTAAATAAAACTTTCCTAAATAAAAATACCATAGTAGAGTATCTCAAATATTATAGATGCCTTTTAACTACTTAGAGCATTTCTGATCGAGATATCATATTCTAAATTAATGACTTATATGGCAACGTCAATTTTCTTTTTTTGTTCCAACCGATATGTTTTTATTATTATTGTGTTGATGATTTTGGGGCTTACCTTGTTAAATTAAATATTTATTTAATGACAATATGAAAACAAAGCATTTTGTGTATTTTAACATACCACATTTAATTTCGTATATCCCTTATATTTCTAATAAAAGTAAAGCTAGAGAAACCAACTATTTAGATCAAATTTTGTAAATTACATAACGTGGCTGTTGATGATTGGATCATTATTTAAGTATCGATTAACATATTTATTTCCTATTAGTGACACATCATATAATTTGTAATTTTGGTTTGAAAAGTTGGTTTATCTAACATTACTCTGCTAATAATTTAGTTGCTAATTATTAGACTTTACAACATATCGTGAGTAATGTGTTGGGTGTTGTTTCTTAAAATAAAAAAAGGTTTGTGTTGTGTCATCTTTGCGTTGTGCAAGATTATATTCTTTTCAAACAATATGTCAACTTATCGTGGACAAATATACATATAACGTGTCGTTATTGAGTCTCCCGAATGAACATTGATCCGACTAAGGATTTGATAAACGCTTGAGCCTAGAAACTAATTAGTATTATTTCCCTTTTTTTTTTTTTTTTTTTTTTTATTTATGATAGCTACAATCTAACTGCTAATCACGAAATATACAACTTTCTCCTTTATGTTTTGTTTATCAAATCAAACGCACGGGCAGAGACTCTCGCTCTTTCTATGTACAATCTTTTCAAAGATCCCATTGCCATGATCTGGTTAGATAAGAAAATGATAAAAATTTATTATTTTAAGAGTAAATTGTAGTAATAGTCCGTCAATTTTAATCAAATTAGAGCAATGGTCTCTCAACTAAAAATTTATTAGCTATGGTTATTTTCGTCAACTTCGTCAAACTTTTGTCAAAATGAGTTATGTTGGAATGACCATTGCTACAATTAGGATTCCTCAACTCATCAAAATGTGTAGCTATGATCTTTTTTGTCAACGTCGTCAGAATTTTGTCAAAATGAGTTACGTTGAAATGACCATTTCTACCATGAGTTAATGTTGAAGGACAATTTCTCCAATTGGATCAAGGTTGAGGGATCAATGATAATAGATTTTTATTTTAGGGACTATAGTGGCACGTTTTATTGAGTTGAGGGACCAATGGTAATGGATTTTTAGTTGAGAGACCATTGTTCTAATTGAGTTAGAGTTAAATGACTACTGCTATAATTTACTCTTATTTTAAAGAGAATAGAAAGTGTAAAACTATTATAATATAAGAAAGTGAAGGGTTTCGAACCCAAAATGTATAGATAAAAATCAACACCTTATCTACTAAGATATTAAACCATATGGTATAATAAAAAACAATGAAAACAAAGACCATAAATTTTTTATTCAGACAAACACTTAGTATCATAATCTAGTAACAATTCTCAATATTTATAGGTTAAAAATTTTAGATTCGACTTGAGTAAATTACAAGTTCGTAACCAAATTATTATGTCAGACTGCTTACCTCAAATGTTTTATCTTAAATACATGGTTTATTTTAAAAAAATTATTCAAAACAAACTAACAAAGTTGTCTCCTCCTAACCGAGTAACAGTCCCCAGTTTCATCCGTTTTCCGTGAAATTTCTCGTGTCTTCCATCCATTCAACTCAACCACCTTCCAAGCTCAAACTTATAAACTGTCCAAACCACCAAACGACATCGTACTCTTAAGATACATAGTGATCATTACGTTTACATCCCCCTTTCACGGTTTTGCGCTAATGTGCCTTGTGCGCTGTCCCGCTCGCCATTTCTTCTTCCTTCTCTGAAATTCTTAGCTTCGAATCTCTTTATTTTCCGACGACAAATGGCGGCCAGAATCGGGTCCTTCCACCACAGCTTCGCCGAGAGAAGCAAGGAACGGCTGCTTTCGCGAAAAGGGTACTCCGACTTCGGCTTCAACAGCTCCGAAGCTGGCGACGAACACGTCAAATGCGGCTGCTTCCGGAGATTCTCCGATGGGTTCAACAACTTCTGCAACAATTTCCAGGACACTTTCATCAAATTGTATCAAATGGGTCGTTCCGATCCTCGAAAAGCCATCTTTGCGACCAAGATGGGGATGTCGTTGGCGCTCGTGTCGCTGCTCATATTTTTCAAGGAGCCGCTCAAAAGTGCCAGCCAGTATTCCATCTGGGCAATCCTTACTGTCGTCGTCGTTTTTGAATTCAGCGTAGGTATTACTTCAAAGATTACCCCTTTTTTTTTGGCTTTTGCGTTTTGATCGAGATTTTGTTTGTTTGTGAGATTAATGTCCTTTTTTTTTTTGGCTAAAGGTGCAACCTTGAACAAGGGTTTTAATCGAGCTTTGGGGACGTTATCGGCCGGTGGGCTTGCTCTGGGGATTGCAGAGTTATCTGTATTGGCAGGAGATCTGCAGGAAGTTGTAATTGTAATCAGTGTGTTTATAGCAGGTAATCTTGTTTAAAACACTTGATAATTTGATCATTAATCTACATCAGTTGAGAAAGTTTGATACTTTGTTTATGAGAAAACCATTTTTTTTTCTGAATTTTGGCTGTTGGGTATTGTGGTAATTAGGATTTACTGCTAGTTATATCAAGCTTTATCCGACAATGAAGCCATACGAATACGGATTTCGGGTATTCTTGTTGACATATTGTATCGTCTTGGTGTCTGGGACTTCATTATTCCTTCAGACAGCATTCTATCGATTGCTGCTTATTGCAGTCGGTGCAGGCATTTGTTTGCTTGTAAATATATTCATATACCCCATCTGGTCAGGGGAAGATCTCCATAAGCTGGTGGTGAAAAATTTAAGGGGTGTGGCTTCTTCTTTGGAAGGTTGGTTCGTTTACGACATAATGTTGTGTGCATTTTAGTTCACACAGCATTGCAGGATTGGTTTTGATGGTTTCATCTTTTGTTCTGTTATAGGTATCGTTAATCAGTATCTGCAATGTGTTGAATACGAGAGAATTCCTTCAAAAATTCTCACCTACCAAGCTTCTGATGACCCGTTGTATAGTGGTTATAGATCAGCTGTGCAATCTTCAAGCCAAGAGGAAACTCTGGTATGCTGATATAAACAATTCTGCTTCTAGTCCTCTGATTTTGAACTAGAATTGCAGGAACTTTTAATTCAACCAAATCGAATTGAAATAATTTTGCAGTTAGGCTTTGCTGTATGGGAGCCACCGCATGGCCCTTATAAGTCATTCAGTTACCCCTGGGTAAACTATGTCAAAGTTGGTGGTTCACTGAGGCATTGTGCATTCATGGTCATGGCGATGCACGGATGCATACTTTCAGAAATCCAGGTAAATATATATTTTTCCTCCTTCCTGTGACTTTTCAGAATGTACATAGCAGAAGAGAGAGGAGCTGTTGGTAGCAGCATTAAATTCTGAATCTCCATTTATAGAGCCTAGGAGATGGATCTTGCAGTTCATGCTGTTCGTTTGAAGATAAAATGAGCTTATGAGTATTGTAACCTTAAATCTTGAAAACGTAGCCTGGTTTTACGTGAATTATATTTTGTTTAAGGCAATAGTTATGTGTACTATTAATTTAGGCTTATGTTCAATTTCCCAAGATATTGATCATCAGCAGCCTGCAGAAGTACTGATGAGAAATTTCTACTGTTCCCTGAAATTAACGTGGAAAAGGGATTTGAAAGTTTTTGTTTTGGCTTTGTATAGAAGAATTGCATGCCATTTACCTGTTTGCAAAGATCAGAAATTTTTCTGAACCATGCAACATGTCAAACCCTGTAGTTGATTAAGAACACAGATTTCTTCTTAATTCTGTGTTTTTAGTTTCCCAATTGATTTATTAGTTTCTTAATTTTCAGTTTCATCATCAGGTTTTTGTGACTGTTTCTGTAGGCACCACCCGAAAAGAGACAGGTTTTTGGCATGGAGCTCCAGAGAGTTGGTGTTGAAGGTGCTAAATTGTTACGTGAGCTAGGAAGCAAAGTAGAAAAGATGGAGAAATTAAGTCCCAATGACATACTTTTCGATGTGCATGAAGCCGCAGAAGAGTTGCAGATGAAAATAGACAAATACTCATACCTTCTTGTCAATTCAGAGAGCTGGGGACCTGAAGTACGTCCCAAGGAATATGAAGATCCTGTGCATTTTGTCGATAAAGACAATGAAAATAAGCAGGTGGTGATTGATTCTCTCAGTGAATATTGGGATCCTCAGAATCCAAGCACAGCTGCTGATCCTTCCATTCAACAATGGATATCTACAGAAAGTCTGTTAAAAAAACCAATATCATGGCCGCGCCTCTCATTCAACGCGCATGCTGTGCAAGAGGAACCTGAAGAATCAAAAGTTTACGAGAGCGCCAGCTCTTTATCTTTGGCAACATTTGCATCGCTTCTGATTGAGTTTGTGGCTCGGCTTCAAAATCTGGTGGAAGAATTTAAAGAGCTGAGTGAGAAGGCAAAGTTTAAGGATCCTGTTGAAGCCAAGGAGGAGGTTGTTGGGTTCTGGACCAGACTATTCAGGAGTTTGCGGTTGAAGAATTAAAGACTGGATTATTTTTTTCAGGTTGGTTGGTACCTAATTATAATTTTGATCCAAGGATTTGGAGGTAATCAGCGGTCACTAAAACAAGTTTGACAAATTGATTTCTTTGTTGGGTAACGAATTTCCTTTACAGATTGTATTAAAAACTGGTGTAGAAGGGCAGTGTGAGGTTCTCTGTTTTGAACTCTTCGATTTGATAACATTTTGACGCGAACCAAGCTGGGAAAATCCTCGTTCTGAGAAAAGTCCGGTTGATCACAGAAAATCTGATGAGACCAAATGATGGAGAAGAAAATAATTTGGAAGTCAAAACTCCAGTGAAGCATGAAACTGCGTATGCGTTAGCAAATCGCATCCTAACTGATGTATCAGTGTATCATTTGTTTAAATTTTGGCCAAGTTTGGATCTCATTTGTTATAACTTGATGTGTAATGTATGACTTGTACTACATAAGACGTGCCTAAAGGTTTTTTCTTGGGCGTCAAGTTTTGTTCAATAAGACAATGTGCTTGATTCTCTTAGTCTGTACCGTTACCAATGGATATTTTTGCTGTTGTATACGGCGCTTATATGTACCTCATCTATATGTATGGTGGTCCAAAATCTAACAACGAACGGGATGCATTTCCTAAACCACATCACTTCTTATCAACAACACGAAAATTATACAACGGTAAAAAACACTTTCTAGTAAATAAAAATAAAAACGCTTTCTACTACATTTAATAAAATAAAAATAAAGTTTTTATGCGCCGTGGTCTGTAGAAACTCTTTCTAAATATGTTCTCTAGGTGTCTTTTTAGAAGGAATTGGATCCGTTCCAGACCTTAGTGTTCGGAGCCTAGGAATCAATTCATCTGGGCTGCACCAATTCAATCCAATGGTCTCCATTAACTCATTTTTCCAGCCCACCACACAAAACCAATGGCTCTGATTTCCTTTACACACCAATCAGCGACCTAGATGATTTGATTCCTAGGCTTTGGACACTAAAGTCCGGAACGGATCCAATTCCTTTTTAGAAAACACTTGTTTTTTTAATCAATTTTTTCACATGCTCCTGACAGAAGCTCTTTTAGCAAAAGAACTTCCTATCGGTTTCAAACAAGCACAAAGAATGAGAGCTTTGCTCACATGCACCCTTTGTTTCACAGCTTGAAATTAAATCTCAACCGTCCACTCAAGAAAAAAAAATGTGCGGAAGAGAATTTCTAAAATGGATGATTGCGTCACGATTGGGCCAAGGCATGTGAAGCCCACTAAAGATGGGCCAGTTTACTTTCTTCTATACTTATGGCCCACTAATACTTTATGTAAAATGGGCCCAAGAAACAAAAAAGAACCATAATAACGATACTCTCGGGTCGTCTCGTATTCTCTCCCTCTCTCTCTCTTTTTCCGCTCTTAACGGATTGTCGAATCGGAGGCAGCCGGCGGGAAGGGCACTGAGATCGGTAAGGCCGTTGCCGCTTCTAAGTTTCATCGCTTTCCTCTGAGGTAATTCAAAAATTTATGAATTTTTTTTGCTCTAGCTTGATTTTTGGAATCTGTTTGATTGCTGAGAAAACTAAGTGAGAAAAATGAAATCAAATTCCAACTTCCAATTTTTTGTTTTCGTTTCCTGAAATTTTAGAGTAATTCAGCCGAACCAATGCGTCGCTGGTTTTTGAATCCAAGATTTCATCTTCATTCTCTTCATTTTCTCTTAATCATTTTCCTTATTTCCCCCTTTGATTTGAATTCTAGGGTTTGATTTAGATCTCACAGTGCTGATCTGACGCTCTACCTAATGTCGGTGTATTAATATCCTGTCAATCGTAGGAATCAAAGCAATAATCAAAACCGAATGAAAATATAGCGGTTTCTTTAGTTAATATTTCTGCATATTTACTTATGATAACTTGTTTCGGTGTTTGAAGGTTCTGGAAAAGGTTTGAATTACAATGTCTGTGGTTGATGAACCGCTATACCCAATAGCCGTTCTCATAGACGAGCTTAAAAATGACGATATCCAGCTGCGGTTGAACTCAATCCGCAGGCTATCTACAATTGCACGTGCCCTTGGGGAAGAGCGAACTCGTAAGGAATTAATCCCCTTTCTGAGCGAGAACAATGACGATGACGATGAGGTACTTCTTGCAATGGCGGAGGAGTTGGGGGTCTTCATTCCATATGTTGGGGGAGTCGAGCATGCGCATGTTTTGCTCCCGCCCCTGGAGACCCTTTGCACTGTTGAGGAAACCTGTGTGAGGGACAAGGCTGTGGAGTCGTTATGTAGGATTGGGTCTCAGATGAGGGAAGGTGATTTGGTCAACTGGTTTATTCCTCTTGTGAAGGTTAGATAACTCATTTTCTTCTGTGCTCAGAAGTTTATTACTTAATTTTGTTTTAGGATTGGATGGGACTGAATGACGACTTTATTCTCGTCCTAAGCATTATTTCCGATTGCCTCACGGCCGGGCTAGCATTTAAATTATTGCTGGGCAGTCCCTTGTGAATCTTTACATCTCTGCCATGCAGATACTTCTAATTAAATTGTCAGTCTTTCGCAATTATATGGATCTTTTACTTGATAGATATGCTATATATAATTCAAGGAGGACATATGAAATGTATTGAATAGATTTGGATCATTCGATTTTGCATGTTCGGTGGAGGAATTTTAGTATTTTACATAAGTAATCTTAAAAGTTTCAGCACTGGCATTTATATCACAACATCAGTTCATCACTGTCGTGCAGATGTTGCATTTTGTTACAACGTGCTTGAGTTTTGTATCCTTTCACCCTCAGCAAATTTTTCTTCCAAATACTTATTATATATATTTTTTTTCTTCCCAGAGGTTGGCAGCTGGTGAATGGTTTACAGCTCGAGTCTCTGCATGTGGGCTTTTTCATATTGCCTACCCTAGTGCACCAGATACATTGAAGACAGAACTGCGATCAATTTACAGTCAGTTGTGTCAAGATGACATGCCTATGGTTAGGAGGTCTGCTGCTACAAACCTAGGAAAATTTGCAGCAACTGTTGAACCTGCTCATCTGAAGGCTGATATCATGTCTATATTTGACGATCTTACTCAAGATGGTAACTGAATGCTGCCTTCCCATTCTCAATCTTTTAAAGTTAAAGCTGCCACATTTAGTTTCATATTAGATGAAGATTCTCCAAGTTATATTTCTTACAATTAGTTTCATTTTAGATCAAGATTCTGTTCGACTCTTGGCCGTTGAGGGCTGTGCTGCTCTTGGGAAGTTGCTGGAGCCCCAAGATTGTGTTGCACATATCCTCCCTGTTATTGTTAACTTCTCTCAGGTAAACCATGTATTTAGAATGTTGAATTCTACATTTGGTTATATTCATCCTATTTTTGCTTAAAGGCTGAATGGATAGTTACAATAATAAGGCATGCGTATGGAAGCTGTTGGGCATGACACTTTGGACTGTCACTAGTAGGTTTTTTGCATTCGAAGGAATATCATTGAATGTTTTGCATCTTAACAATTTTTCATTCCTTGGAATAGGATAAGTCTTGGCGTGTGCGTTACATGGTTGCAAATCAACTATATGAGCTTTGTGAAGCTGTAGGGCCTGAACCTACAAGGTATTTATTGTCATACCACAGCCATGTGCTAAAATGAAGATAGTAGGAATACGCTATTTTGATTTCTAAAGAAGGTTTTTTTTTTTTTTTTTTTTTGAAATATTGGATTTATTGTGGTTGTCTTTGAAGGACGGACCTGGTTCCGGCATATGTGCGATTGCTTCGAGATAATGAGGCTGAAGTACGCATAGCAGCTGCTGGCAAAGTTACCAAATTTTGCCGGATTTTAAGTCCAGAACTTGCAATTCAGCATATTCTTCCATGTGTCAAGGTGTGTTTGCTTTAATGCAAAGTTTTTCCTTTCTTAGTGTTGTTAATTGTTAACTTCAACTTATTCTTTTGTACTGGTAATTTCAATACTTTCCAATGACCTTTGCAGGAGCTGTCATCAGATTCTTCCCAACATGTCCGGTCTGCTTTGGCTTCAGTTATAATGGGAATGGCTCTTGTATTAGGAAAGGTGAGATTCGGTGTTATTTTTTTGTTCTAATTTATAAACAGTTTGACAAATAATGAACTGGAGCTGATATGAGGTGTATATGACTAACATTAAATGAATATTTTTGGTTGGATGGCTGTGGAGCTGAATATTTGTTGGAAAGTCCATACATCTGTGAAGAAGTTGGGAAAAAAATATGAATGAGATGTGTACAGGTCCATACTCCAAATTTGAATCCGGATGACGAAATGGTATAAGTCAATGAATCATAAATGACATTCCTTTCGCATAATTTTCTCACTTGAAACGTAAATGTTGTGTGCCTAGAAGGTTTTACGATTGCAATACAATTTCTACTAATTTACAGTGTTGTAAATTGACTTTTGTTGTGATAATAATTGAAAAGGAGCCTGCATGCCGGTATGAGCGGTTTGTGTTTGCATGTAAACTATTTGTCTTAGTTTTTTTATATTCCACACAGAATTGGCCTGCAAATTGCCTCTTAGTTGTTTTAGTCTCAATCCTACAATTGATGTTTTAATCTTATGATGTGCTCTCTATGATCTTTAAAGTACATTACTTGCATACATCTCATTCTTAGGGTTATTGCAGGATGCTACAATTGAGCAGCTCCTTCCCATTTTTCTTTCACTCCTGAAGGATGAATTTCCTGATGTGCGTCTTAATATCATTAGCAAGCTTGATCAAGTGAATCAGGTCAGTTTAAATTTGAGAAAGTAAATGCATTATATTTCCCCCCATTTATGCTTTCTTTGACTCTACGTGTTTTTAAACTCAATTTTTAGACCTCAGCATTTGGTATTTTTTGGTCTTTCCTTATCAAAATATCAAAGGTTAGACCTTTTCAAGTGAATGCTGAAGCGTGTCATTCTTGCAGGTTATTGGAATTGATTTGCTGTCTCAATCCTTGTTACCAGCCATAGTTGAGCTAGCGGAGGATAGACATTGGAGGGTTCGACTGGCAATAATAGAGTACATACCTTTATTGGCAAGTCAGCTGGGTGTAGGGTTCTTTGATGATAAGCTTGGTGCCCTTTGCATGCAGTGGTTACAAGACAAGGTTAGTGTATTCCTACATTTTGAGTACATCTCACTTCATGATAAGCCTAAAGGGAAGAAATGTTGTTCCTTGTTTCTCTTCCCTCTTCTCTGTCCGTCTCTCTATCCCTCTACCGCCCCCTCCCCACAAAGAAAGAAAGACGGGGTGCATACTCATTAGTGCTTTCTGCTTTGGAATCTATTGCAGGTCTACTCAATTCGTGATGCTGCTGCTAATAATTTAAAGCGTCTGGCAGAAGAGTTCGGTCCAGAATGGGCAATGCAACATATTGTTCCACAGGTTTTTTTGATGACCTTGATTAATTCAGTTGCCACAAGTTCTGCCATGGGAGATTTCAGAAATGTTGAAAATAATGTCATTGTTTTGTCCTGACTTTACGGCTTTTATCTGCCTGGAA